TTTCTATTTTTAGTACAGGCAGGGTCTTGCTTTTGCTCAGGCTGGTCTCAGACCTGTGAGCTCAAGCAATCCACCCACCTCAGCCTCCCAGAGTGCTAGGACAGCAGGCATGAGCCACTGTGACCAGCCCTTAAGAAAGATCTTAAAGGGAAATCAGAATAGGAAATGTTTCCTTCTAAATTGAAAGTGATTGAGGCTTATTTGAAAGTGAGGGGGAAATCAAACCTAGATGGAAATATTTCTCTACAGGGAAGAGTCACTGAGAAAGGCTCAAAAAAAGAGGCAGGTCTTTGGACTAATCACCTCTAACTCAAAAACTGGCTTGAATTCCATCATTACCCTTTCCTTCAGCATTTCTGCAAATACTTCCGCCTTCCAATCACACTTCCAGAGACTAGCCAGAGTAACTTCATTGAGAACAAATTACATCACATAACTTTCCTTCCAGAAATCCTGCTGCCTTTTGTATGCAGAAGAAAACGTAAACACTTCAACATGCCCTGTGAAAGCTCTGTATTATGTGGCCCCCACCAGTTGTTCTTTTTTTTTTGAGACAAAGTCTCACTCTGTCACCCTTGTTCAGGGCCATGTGTCATAGCTCATAGCAACCTCCAATTCTTGGGCTCAAGTTACCCTAATGCCTCAGTCTCCCAAGTAGCAAGCGTCTACCACAAAACCTGGCTATTTTTTAGACATGGGGTTTCGCTGTTACTCAGGCCAGTCTCAAACTCCTGAGCTCAGGGGATCCACCTGCCTCAATCTCGCAGAGTGCTAGGATTACAGGCGTGAGCCACCAGTTTTTCAAAGCTCATCTCAAACCTCTCTCTCAAAGTATTTTAACCCAGCTGGCTAACTTTTAGATCTTCAAATACTTAAGTACTACCTCAGAACCTTGCTACTTTCTGCTTTCCCCACCAGGATAGACCCTTCCTCATATGAACATCCCATTTCATATAGCTGTTCTTTATCATTTGTGTCTTAACTAAACTCTCCCCAGAGAAGATTTCTTCATGTTTTTTCAAGTTTTATAATCTCATATTTATGTATTATTATATATATTTTTTTGAGACAGACTCTCACTATGTTGCCCTTGGTAGAGTGCCGTGGCATCATAGCTCATAGCAACCTCTTGGGCTCAAGTGATTCTCTTGCCTCAGACTCCTGAGTAGCTGGGACCACAGGCACCCACCACAACACCTGGATATTTTTTTTTTTAATTGCAGTTGTCGTTGTTTAGCAGGCCCAGGCCAGGCTCAAACCCACCAGCTTCAGTGTATATGGCTGGTGCCCTACCCACTTAGCTATGGGCACCGCCCTATAATCTCCTATTTATAAAGTAAGTGAATTAGAATACACAGTATTTTAGGATACTGGACAAGCATAAAACACAACTTTCAAAACAGTGGTTTCCACACATTTTACCATTGACAGCCTTTAAAAGAACTGTTCCCACTGAATGGTACTAGAGCTGGGAGAGGAAAACTATTTTTACCTTATGCCCTATCTCTTATTAGTATAATTTTATAGTAGCATATATACCAATTGTAGTAATTTAAAAAAAGTTTCTCCTGTGGATTCCACATTCTGAAAAATTATGTCCACCTAATTGTATTAATTTATTCAATAAATATGTATTGAGCATTTCCTATTTGCCAGACACTGTAAAAGTCATGGTGATGAACAGACATGGTCCTTGCCCTCACAGAGGTGGAGTTTTGTGAGGTCAGGCAGACAATACAGAGAAAAGCAAGTAGGTTAATGTGTAATTAACACAAAAATGCTAACAAGGTATCAGAGTTCTGTGAACGTGAAGAAGGCAGAAGTGAGCAACATAAAACCTATTTATTTATCTGCCTTCCTGTCATTTCAGCTGAAACCTGAAGAGTATGAGGGAGCAACAATAGGAGGTCTGGATAATGGCAAAGCACTCTGTTGGTTTGTGCAAACACTCTAAGTAAATAGAACCTCATGTATTCTAGGAACTAAAAGTTACCAACATGATCAGAGTGTGGGAGCACAAGAAAGAGTGAAACAGATTAAGACTGGACAGAAAAGTAGTGTCAGAGCCTGGGGAAGAGTTTGGTTTACTTTGGGTAGACACTAAGGGCGTTTTTAAACAGGGGGTTTTAGCAGGAAACCGGCCAAATTCTACTGACCTTTTGAAGATCTTTCCATCTCCACTTGGAGATGGGATTAGAATGGGAAAAGAGGAGAAGCAGAGAGACAAGTTAGAAAGTTATTTCAGAATCTCTGAATGCCTTCCATATTTTATTAGTCAAAGACATAATTGCAAATCAGGCCTTCTGATTAATCTGAGATGGTAGTATCATGATAGTGAGTTAAAATCAAATACTTAACATTTAATATTTTAATTAGCCTTGAGCTTTATGACAAAAATACACAAGTCTCTAGTCTAGTATGTTGTCTGAAAAATAAAAATACCTCCTGGACACCTTCTCCAAGCCCTCTGTAGGCTCTTTAAAATTTGGAGACCCCTCCTTTGGAATCATTACTGTAAGAACACTCAGGGAAAAACTTCAAACTATAGTTTATAAAATACCCTCCCTGGCTCGGCGCCTGTGGCTCAAGTGGCTAAGGCGCCAGCCATGTACACCCAGGGTGGCAGGTTCGAATCCAGCCCAGGCCCGCCAAACAACAATGACGGCTGCAACCAAAAAAAAAAAAAAGAAATAGCTGGGCGTTGTGGTGGGCACCTGTGGTCCCAGCTACTTGGGAGGCAGAGGCAGGAGACTCACTTGAGCCCAGGAGTTGGAGGTTGCTGTGAGCTGAGATGCCACGGCACTCTACCCAGGGGGACAGCTTGAGGCTCCTGTCTCAAAAAATAAATAAATAAATAAAAATAAAATAAAATAAAATAAAATACCCTCCCTATCCTTATCCCATCTTTATGTCTAACCTTCAAACTCAACATCAAAGCTTTGTCCCGCCATTTCAATGACAGCCTTCAAAGTTTCACTTTTGGAAGGAATATAAACCAGTTGAAATTTATTTTTCAAAGGAAAATTATGGAAGAATTCTGGCAGTAAATTGATATCAACTGCACTATAGTTAGTAGAAGGTCTTTTTCTTGGCACACTGTTGAAACGAAGATACAATACAATTGCAGAAAATAGTAATGGCATCAAGAGTTCAATGATTGTTACCAGAGTCTTCCGCTTCTAAAATAAAAAACAAAAGCTATGTGTTAACACAAAACAGAACACAAATATAAATAGCTATGTGGTGAATGTTCTTCCATTAAGAACACTTTCATTTCTTCCAGCCACCCTGTATAACACATGAAAAAGAAAAAAATAAGAGTAGAATTAGCTAGAAACATCTTTTAGCTTTTCTGTAACACCAGTGGCTAGACATCAGTAACAATGTCACCTTTAATAATTAGGGTTAACAGAATTACTATGGAAACATGACTCATTTGCAGAAAAAAAGGCCCTTTTCAGGCAAAGTTCTTAATTTTTCTTTAACCCATTATTATAGAACAATTTAATTTTTTTTTTTTTTGAGACAGAGTCTATTTCACCCTCAGTAGAGTGCCATAGCATCACAGCTCACAGCAACCTCAAACTCTTGGGCTTAAAAGCAATTCTCTTGCCTCAGCCTCCCCAGTAGCTGGGACTACAGGTGCCTGCCACAATGCCCAGCTATTTTTTGTTACAATTGTCATTGTTATTATAGCTGGCCCGAGCTGGTTTTGACTCTGCCAACCTTGGTGTATGTGGCCGGCGCTGAAACCACTGTGCTACAGGCGCCGAGCCATAAACCAACTTAATTTAAACATTCAGTCCCTTCCAAGGACTTACATTTTCTCCACAGATAACAATACCTACCTTTAAGGTAATATTTTTCCAGAGAAGAAGTTTTAACTTCTTCAACACTGCCATTTTTCTAGATGAAAAGGAGGACTCACCACTAGTCAGGAAACAAATGAGGAAAAATGTTATACATCATACAGAAATGTTAAGAGTTACTCTTTCATTCTTGTAAACTTTCTTCTCTTGGGCTTTCAGATCATCAGGGTGGACTATTTTTCCTCCTACCTCTCTAGCAGTTCCTTCTCAGTCTTTTCTGCAGATTCTGTCTCCAGCTCTTTAAAGTGCTCCAGGGTTTAGTGTGTGGTCTCTTTTACAGTGATACTTGCTTCTTAAGCTATCTCACTCAGTTCTTAGGTTTGAATCCGCATATATGATGACGACTTCTAAATGTCTACCCCCAGCCTGGACCTTGCCTCTAACTCTAGACCTACTTATTCAATTGCCTGCTTAACACCTCCATCTGTTTCATCTCAAACCCAACATGGCCAAACTGGCCTACTTAGATTACTCTTAAAAAACAGATTGTCTTAACAGTCTTCGTCTCCTCAATATCAGTTCTATTCTTAAACAGGATTATCCTTCTTTTTATAAAACTGATGTAACTATTTAATAACACATGTTATGAATAACATGTTATGAAACAAGGGGGTTACAAGTAGTAGGTTAAGGATGACGGCATTTTTTATTTTTAAAAAACACTAAAAAGTATGAGACTGGGCACAGTGGGCCACATCTGTAACCTCAGCACTTTAGGAAGCCAAGGCAGAAGGTTTGCTTAAGGCCAGGAGTTCAAGACTAATGGGCAATAAAGCAAAGACTCCATCTCTACAAAAAATAAAAAACTTAGCCAAGCATGGTGGTGTACACCTATAGTCCCAGAAACTAGGGAAAACTAAGGCAGGAATATCACTTGAGCCCAGGAGTTCAAGTTACAGTGAGCTATGACTGTGCCACTGCACTCCAGCCTAGGTGACAGAGCAAGACTCTATCTCTTAACTAAATGAATAGTATGAACATGCATACAAGAAACTCAAAGTTTATATAACAAAATATCAATGGTATTTACTTCTACACAGGATTATTCTTGACTTCTTTTTCTCTTCTACCGCCTAAATCCTGTTTGTCAACACATCCTGTTGGCTTTACCTTCAAAATATATTCAGAATTGAATCCCTGGTCCCACCTCTACTTGTATCAACTCTTGTCTGAATTTCTGCAATAGCTTCTGTGGTGGTACCACTGCATCTGTCCTTGCCATTTCACAATCCCTCCATGCAGTCATAAGAGTGACTGTAGATAAGTCAGATCATACGTACTCCTTTGGTCAAAAATCTCTAATGGCTCCCATCTCTAAGCAAAAGCCTTGCCTTACAACAACCCAAAAAGTTCTACAGGATATAGTTCCTGCTTGCTTTTTCATCTCATTTCTTCTCATCAATTTTAACTCCTTCCTTTTCCCTGCTCCTATGTCATGGCCTTGCTAAAACACACCAAACACACTTCTGCCTAAAACTTATGTTTCCTCTATTGAGACCATACTTTCCCCATGTATCAACATTGATACTGTCCTACTTCTTTCAGATCTTTATTCAAAAGTCACTTTCTCAATGAGACCTTTTCTAACCATCCTATATAAAATTTCAACATCCCCAAACATTTCATATCAACTCTTCATGTTTTTCCTCTTAGCACTTTTAAACAATTTATATGCTATTTATTTAGCTTATTTGTCTGACTTCCCTATGTATTCTCCACAAAGGCAGGGATCTTTTTCTTCTTCTTTGTTTTTTCCAAAACAGGATCCCAGACATAAAAGTGAAGCCAGCACACAATAGACAGTCAATAAATATTTAACAAATTAATAATTAGCTAAAGGGTATGCAGTCTTTTTTTTGAGACACAGCCTCAAGCTGTCACCCTGGGTAAAGTGCCGTGGCATCACAGCTCACAGCAACCTCCAACTCCTGGGCTTAACCATTTCTCTTGCCTTAGCCTCCTAAGTAGCTGGGACTACAGGCGCCTACCACAGTGCCCAGCTATTTTTTTTTTTTTGATTGTAGTTGTCATTATTGTTTGGCAGGCCCAGGCTGGATTTGAACCCACCAGCTCAAGTGTATGTGGCTGGCACCTTAGGTACTGAGCCGGGTATGCAGTCCTTTTAGGGATGTGGTTGGAACAAAAATGACTGCAAGAAAGAAAAATACTTTGGATAGCAGAAATTTCCTCCTTTTTTAAATCTTTCTGTTTCCCAAGTATAATACATAATTTAATTTTTTGATGCTAATACTATGACAAGAATTTTATTTTCATTTCTGAAAAATATCTTTGCAGTGGGGAAAGAAAACTATATACATTTTTCCTGACATTACACAACAGAAACTAAAATAACAGAGTTCATGTAAATATTGGGAAAACATGATTGCTGTTTCTAGAAAGCCCTTATTCTAAGTTGTGCTGTGTCTATTGTCTCTGTTATCCTTACTACAATGACGCTTCCTTAAAGACAAAGACACTGGCTCTTTCCCATGAACACCAGATTTTCAGAAGCAGCTTTAAAGAGTGAATTCTGAATGACATCAGAGAAGGTGATGGAGCAGGAAATTCCAGGAATTAGTGCTCCAACAGAAACACCTATTGAAATGGCAGGAACAACAATTTTGGAAGTCTGGAGTCTAGTCAAACACTTGCAGCACTTGGGGAAATGCCTGATGAATAGAGGCTGATAAATATTAGTGAATTCTGGCATTTTATTTAGTTGCTACCAGTCCCCAAGCACTGCTGTGGCAACATTAGCCCAGAGTTCCTATGTGATTTGCTGGTCCAAGGATGGGTAATATGGATTTTGTCCTTCTTAAATTGTGGTTATACGTTTTGTTTGCTGCTTTTGATCACTGAAAGGGGAGTACAGAAGGTGGCCATTCACCCACGGGGTGCAGTGGCTTTGCAGGTGACATTGGTCATGGGAATTTAAAAAGATAGAAAAATCTTCCCATTTTTCCTTTCTTATTGGATTCAGGTATTTAAAGAAATCTCTGTCAGGTCACTGATTGACTGAAGAGATAATGAAACATAGATTTCAGTACACAAGAAATATAGTCTTTGCAAAGATACTTTAGGCAATAAATAAATAAATAAAATGAGACAAAAGGCATCTGAATTGGAAAGTAAGAAGTACAATGATCTCTATCTGTGGATTATATGATTTTTATATATAGGGAATT